ACAAATCTACCACTTGTACTAAATGTCGACTCAGATGCAGGGACAATTGTACTGAGTTCCTGAAATAATAATTTGATGCACAAAATTATTTACCAAACTTAAGGCACAATACAATCACTCAAAAAACATGAAACTATACCATACCCGGCACTGGCAAGGGCGGCGACGGATTTGAGTGGAGGAGAAGTGTAGTCTGGAGACTGTAAACCTGGATTTTAATTTAACGTGTAGGGTATATTGGAATTGGGCTACCTGGGCAGTGGGCTGGGTTATTGGGTTAAGGTTTACTTAATATTAATTGGGCCAGAATTCTGGGAAGCTCAATTTTCAAAATTGCCCAATTAATTTTGAGAAAGAATAATTGAAAGCCAATTGTCCAATTAATTTTTTTAACGGGTAATCGGTTCGGGGCGGGGCACCATCGCTAAATATCATACCCGCCCTTAAATGAAGCAGTTCATTAAAATCAAAACCATAACCGCCCCATTGCACCATCGGTTCGATTTTTTTCGTCTCATTCGATCCGATTAACCATGGTTTTCGATTTTAACAGTTCAAATTGCCATCCCTAACCACCACCACATGTAACCCCACCGTCACAACCTGTACCACCACCTTCCCAACACCAATAACTAGAAAAATGTCTCCCCACCGCCAAGGTCCCTGGAGACCCTACCACCACCATCCTCACCTGCCCCAGCCAGACCCACCGCCGTCGCTAGCACCTCCACCTGCACAACCAACAAAAACCACCCAACAATACCAAAGCCACCCCAAACTACCAACACAAGCACCACCAATCCACAGCCGTCGCCACCACAATCTCCATCACACCGCAACCACCAACCCCACCATTGTGCAGCTATGCTCCGCCGATGGGCACCGCTGTTCGTGGCCAGATCTTTGGTTGGAGCTCCGATTAAGAGGACTCGGGATGCATTAAGTATCGCGCACCACAGCGCATAGCACCCATCAATACCTGCTGTGCGCGGCCAAATCTCTTGCTTTGCCGGAGCTCCGATTAAGAGAGAATGATATGGAGTCAAGAGAGAATGAAGATGTAGTGAGAGAAGGAAGAAGAAGAAGAAATGAAAATGAATTTGAAGTGGAATGGAGTCGGTCTCCGGCGACAAGCGCTCCGGTGACGGCGCGATTGACGGAGAGAGATAGGTCAGAGGAAGAGGAGAGAACGGGGAGGAAATTTTCTTCCTAGGGTTTGAATGGGGTGAATAGGGTAGGTGTTGGTATATAAATTGATTTATATTATTAATATTAAAATATGGAATTATAACCTGATTTTTGCATAAATAAACTTCAAACCCGATTTTTGAATTGAAAATTTTAAATACATGTGTGGAGGTAATTTCCTCAAAAAAGATTTGACTAGATTGTAAAAAAAGAAAAGAGTTAAGTTGTCTGATAACATGTTATAAAATAAAGAGAAAAATAGAAGAAAGCACAGAAGTCAATATATTTGTATGTATTTTATTAAAAATCAAAACTTTATATTTATAGGCAAGAACTAGAATCGCAAGAGAAATAATAATGATAATAATTAGGATTGTAGATGTATAATGATCATTCACAAAATACTATTTTATTTACAACAATTTTCACCTAAATCAAACAAGGACATATATATTAGCCTGTTTAGGTTTCATTGTTTTTTTTTTTCTAAAAAATGCATTTTAGAATAATAAATTGATGAAGAATGTCTGACTGAAAAATAATGAAACATTTTGAGTTTGCGTGCAATATTATTTTATTGAAAAATATGGTTGAAAAGAAGAGATAAAAAATGTATTTTAAAAATAATGAAAATCAAACAAGGGCACAATAACGTGTAAGCTCGACAAATATATAAGATGAGCTTACTTTATGATTAAATTTTTTTACATATATGCTTGTGGTATAAATGACCAATTAGTTTGAGAAGTAGCGCGTTGTTACCTGCTTGATTTATTTAAAAATTAATTTTTCAGTAAATTTTGATAAAAGTTGATAAAATGAGTGATTAAAAAATTCATAATAATTATGAAACTCGTAAATTTAAAGAAAAATATATTTTAAAAGAAAAGAACAAATCATGGCAAATTTTATAACGTATTTTTCCGAAGGGGACGGCATGAACATGATGAATG